CGGATTGGACCGAGCCGAAAATTATGGGCCTGAATTGGGTTTATGGTCTAAAAATCGGGCCTAAGTGTGGGTTGGTTTCTAATAGTTTCTTTTTTTGCAGGACCTTGATCTGTTTCTGGCCCAAAATGATGATCTAAAGATACTCATAAAGTCTCAAAAGACTAGGCCTCCAATTCTGATTGGTGTCCCCAAAATAAGAAGTCTTTTATTTCTTTTTTCCTAGATGTATAATTACTAAGTGTATCTTAAAGATTATAAATCGTAATTTGTAATTACACATTTAATTATTCATGTTATTGTCTTTACTCTATAGAATTAGATAATCATTGTGATGTATTGCTCAAACATTCAATTAATTCTTCCAACCCAATTCGCTTGCTTCTCCAATTTTAAAATGTATCCAAACTTCTAATCCATATTTCCCAAACTATGGATTTCGGAAAATATAAGCTACATTACCATTCGTCCTCCTATCCAATTTGACCAACTTTAGACCAATGTGACCAACTGTAAACCGAAAATGTTAATACTGTCCTATTATTAAATAAAACAAATTTGGTAGTTATTAGCACTTGTTGACCTGTTGGTCAACTGTTAATCTAAACTAATATGATAATAGAGCTAAATAATAGTGAACTTTGAAATCATTGGTACTTATTGATTGGAAACTGCTAATCTCAACCAATCTCGTCCAACCTTTCACTTCAACTTATCCTTTTAAGTTTTAGGCTCAGTGGTTGTTCCGGACAAAATGTGGTATCTAAACTACCACTCCTCCGGGCATCTTTGATCATTGTGGTTTGTTGTTGAATGCAATTCATCAAGTTGATAGTTTGCCCAAGCCTTCTAAGTATTTCAACTTCTGGTCTAGTCACCCTACTTATGACACCTTGGTGTCAGAGGCTTGGAGTACGGTAATTGATGGGTTTCCCAATTATTCCTTCTACGGGAAGCTGCGACAGGTTAAGAAAAAGCTGAAGACACTAAACAGGGAAGCTTATTCAGACATATCAGCAAGGGATAGAGAATTGGAAACCTAATTGGAGGAACTACAAATGGAGCTTCTTGCAAGTCCTAGTGCTGAGTTAGTTGAAGCAGAGGGGGAATTGGCATAGAAATGTTATGAAGTGAGGAAAGCTAAAGAAAGTTTATATAAGCAAAAGGCTCATACTCAAGGGGTGTAAGAAGGTGATATGAATACTGCATATTTCCTCAACTGAGTGATCTACTATCTATGAGTGCGAATCTTCTATTCGCACTCATAGATAGTAGATCACTCAGTTGAGGAATTCCCAGGGACAAGTGGTAACTATTATAAAGGAAATGGGGAGAGTTGCGTTGGATTTCTATAGGCAGCTTATTGGTGAAGTTAACAAAGACATTATCCCTCAACCTAGCAGTTTTTATCAGCAGCTTTCTCGTAGTAAGTTGTCTCCTAAGAATATGGAAATGTTAACTCAACAGGTTACCAGAGAAGTGATTAGATTTGTATTCAAAAATCTTGGCTGGGATAAAGCTCCTAGTCCGAATGGGTTTCCTTATGAGTTCTATAAGTTGCATGAAATGATTGGTAAAGAGGTTGAGGATGTGGTTCTGCATTTCTTTCAATCGGGTTAGATGCCTAAAATTGTCAACTCTACATTGTTCACGTTGGCTGCAAAGGTTCATAATGCTGAGCTGATGGAGGATTTTCGTCCAATCTTGTGCTGCAATACTATATACAAAGGGATTTCGAAGCTCCTTGCGAACAAGTTAGCATCAGTACTTCCAACAGTTATTTCTTGTTCTTAGTCGGCTTTCATTAAGGGGCGTTCGATAAGTGATAATATCCTCTTAGCTTCTGAGTTAGTGAAGGACTACCATAGGAAGAATGTAACTCCTTGATGCACTATTAAATTGATATTATGAAGGCTTTTGACTCTTTCAATTGGTCTTTCCTTTTTTTGTGCTTGAGAATATGGGTTTTCCTGATATGTTTATTAAATGGTTGCGAGCGTGTGTCTGTAACCCTAGAATCAGTCTTGGCCTAAACGGAGGTGTATGTGGTCTTTTTGAAATGAAGCTTGGATTGAGGCAGCGAAACCCTTTATCCCCTTATCTATTTACTGTGGCCATGGAAGTGCTTGATGTAATGTAGAAACAGGTTGTTCTGCAAAATCATATCCCTTACCACCTTAGATGCAAACCGTTGGCGATAACACATTTGCGTTTCGCTGACGATTTGCTAGTATTCACAAATGGATCTATTAGGGGAGTGGCAGGGATATGTCGGTTATTAGATGCTTTCTAAGTTATATCGGGTCTGAGATGTAATCCAGAGAAGAGTCCATTGTTTTGTGGGGGGGGGGGGGGGGTCTCAAATGAGGAGCAATGTTTTATTTCGGATTATTCAAAAATTCCCTTGCGCACCCTCTGGTCCGATATCTAGGAGTTCCATTGATTACTGGTAAGCTATCTCGGGCTGATTGCAAGGTTCTAATTAATAAGATTACCACAAAAATTAGGATTTGGAGGACAAAAACTTTGAATTTTGCAGGTCGGCTGCAACTGATAACTCTGTAGTGACTAGTGTTATGCAGTTTTGGATGAGTATTTTTTTTGCTTCCCCAATATGTTATAAAGGAGGTTGAGTCTCTTTGCAGTAAGTTCCTTTGGGATATTGATGAGACTACGATTATGCAGAGAGTTGTTGCTTCGTGGCAATTTATTGCTAGACCAAAAAAAGAAGGTGGGCTGGGGATTCAAAATTTTGTTATGTGGAATAAGGCCTATGTTCTACATCATTTTAGAGCGATCCTTGTGGAAGAGGGTTCTCTTTGGGTGGTTTGGATCCGTCGGTATAGGGTTAAGTCATCCTCGATTTGGGATGTGAAGGCTACAACTACTGGATCATGGATTTGGAAGCGATTTCTGAAGTGTAGGGAAGCTGCTAGGCCTCATGTGTCCAATGCAGGGTCGGGCTTAACATGGGGAGGGGAAGCCACGGTGACTTATTATGTTAAAAGAGTTTGGAACTCACTGCGTCAACGAGAAGAGGAAGTTCAGTGGTATAATCTAGTCTGGGGTAAACATATTATCCCTAGGCATGGGTTTATCATTTGACTGATTAGTAATGATCGTCTGAAGTTGCAAGATAAGCTGATTGTGTGGGGGAAGCAGGTTTCTGGGTTCTGTGTTTTTTGTCCAGGAGGGCCGGAGACCTGTTTCCATTTATTTGTAGATTGTTCTTGTGTGCGATATGTTCTGGGTTTTGCATGCTTATGCCCCACCAGTGTTGAGTGATTGTGCTGCAAAATTACAGTGGTGTATAAGGAAGTGGAAAGGCAGCTCTGCTACTGCAGTTCTCAACAGGATGATTTGAAGTGTGGTGCTTAGCCTCATTTGACGAGAGCGGTGTTCAAGGTTGTATGGGGATTCTGCAGCAAAGATCCTCAGCAGCTAGTTGCAGATACGAAGGGAATTGGTCAACTCATATGTCAGTTGGATCAAAACCTACTCAGATGCTTTGAATCTAGGGGATTGGGACAAGAGATAGATACATTTCTCGTATAGGGTTTCTCTTTCTTTGTTTTTGGAGAGGGAGAGTTGATATGTACAGACTGTTGGTTTTGAGAGGCGCCATGGTGTTTTTGCTATTGGTTCCCTTGCTTAATTCATTTTTGATCTAGCCATAAAAAAAGGTATAAGTTTGAATGAAAATTACTAAATTATTAGCTAAATTATTGACGATCTCATCAATTTGCATTACAATTTTGTTTTGTAAGCTCGATTATTTTGTACATAACAGTTTAATAAAATATGACATTTTTTAAATTAGTTCACTTATATTAACTAAAATTTCTTTATTACTACCAACTATACTCAACATATCATCAATTTGCATTACACAAATTAAACCTCCTATAAGTCATGTTAATCTACATAGTAAATTAATCAAATGTGAGGTATGTAACTTGATTTTATTAGTATAGCACACGTTATGGAAGATAATATAACACCATTCTATAATAATTATTAAAATACACTATGTAAAACTTGAAAGGGTTGAAGAGATAGTTATTTTTTATGCAATAATCAAACTTATTAAATCATAGAGATCGTCACATAGACCAATTCTTTATTCAAATCACATAAATTTGTTAAACTCTAATCTCTAATAGATAAACCTAAGGTTTTGATTCTATAAACTTAATGTCAAATATCAAAATAATAAATAATAATAATCGACAATTCTGATTTGTCGATTTATAACAAAGTACATATCCAACGATTAAATTACTTGAAATATGGTATATTCTAGGAGTACACCTGTCGTTAGGCTTGATTATTATTATTTTTTCCCATGAATATATATATGGATGGTTCTATCGTACTCTTAGTAAAATCACAGGTACGGTGTACCTTGAGTAAGAAAATTATGTCTAGACCTTTAGATTGACCGGAGCATGATATATGGTACTATATCCTAACCCTTAAACACTAGAGTTTACTCATCAAGAATTAGGGTATAGTATCATGCCGCAAAATTTATTTAATTCAAAGTCTAGATATCTTTCTTTTTTTTACTTAAATTATATCATATATTTGATTTTACTCAAAGTACTATGAGACTATATATTGGACAAAATACTAGCGATCAAAATGTGAAATTTTTAGTATATCCGGTGTACTCACATGTATATAATAACTATAGCATCACTATATAATAATTTATACAAATTTTCAAATGTTTGAAGAAATAAATTCATTTTTATAATGCGAAAACAATGGTAAGCAATAGGGCCGGTAGCATTCCTTCTAGCTAAGCTAAATTTTCCTTTCTTGTGACCTGGATGATGTGAAACCCCAGCCCTTTTTTTCTCCTCCCTCCCTCCCTCCATTTCTAGTTTCTACTTTCTACCCTCTTCCTCTCCTGTTCCTTTCCCTTCCCTTCCCCCAACTCCATTATTACTTTCGTTCCAGTTTCTTTCCCTCCCCTTATTTAGCACCTACTACTCAGAGACGAACTCTCCTTTTTAGTACTTCATCCTCCTCCCTGCTTCACGCCTTTTTCCACTTGCATAATCGACCAACACCCAAAAAAAAGAAGTAGAAGGAAACAAGATGTCTGGCAGTAGCAACGAAAGAGGCAAGGAGCTAATGGGGGAAGGATCCAGCGACCCACACCACCAACATCATCACTACGAGCAGCAGCAGCAGGCTGCCACTCCGAGCCGGTACGAGTCGCAGAAGAGAAGGGACTGGAACACGTTCGGGCAGTACCTGAAGAACCAGAGGCCGCCCGTGCCGCTGTCCCACTGCAACTGCAACCACGTCATCGACTTCCTGCGGTACCTGGACCAGTTCGGGAAGACCAAAGTCCACATCCAGGGCTGCATGTTCTACGGCCAGCCCGAGCCCCCGGCCCCGTGCACCTGCCCGCTGAGGCAGGCCTGGGGGAGCCTCGACGCGCTCATTGGCAGGCTCCGGGCAGCCTACGAGGAGAACGGAGGCTCCCCCGAGACCAACCCTTTCGCCAGCGGGGCCATCCGGGTCTACCTCCGCGAGGTCAGGGACTGCCAGTCCAAGGCCAGGGGGATTCCTCACAAGAAGAAGAAGAAGAAGCAGCAGAAGCCGTCTGGCGATCACTCTTCTTCTGCCCCTCCCTTGCACTACTCCTGAATCTGCCACCTACCCAGCTACCTCCTCATCATATTATGAGATGGTAATCGGTCAGTTTGATTTCGTAGCTTTGTTTTTGGCTTTTGGTTTTAGTTCATCCAACATCCCTAGATTATTATGTGTACAATAATTAATTATACTAGCTAGCAAGTCAATCTGGCAAGCTAGTTCATTCATGAACACCTGCGGTAACTGTATAACTCGAGTCGGTAGAAGAGATCAAACACTGATTCATCAGGCAGGCAGAGCTCCTCCACTGCTTCTTCTTTCTTTTGATTTCCATTTCTGGCGATAGTCCGTCTTCTTTATTAGCTCATAGGTTGAGGGATCAATTCTATGCCTGGCTAAGCAAGCAAACAGATTCCATGGAATGCGAGAATGACTAGCTAGCTAGTGTGGTTTTTGACTACTATTGGGTTCTCCTTCTTGTTTAGTATTATACTTACTTAGTCAGATAGTGAGCTAGATTAGTGGTTTCTCCTGGAGCAAACAGTGAGTCAATCATCAACTAGCATTTACACGCATAATATATATGTAGTATTTAAAGTTTTTTAATCTATCCAAATTTTCTTTCTCTCCATCAATGGGGTTCTTTCATTAAGATTTTCCTAGATTTTCTGCCCCCGTATGAGTGCCAAAGTGTTCACTCCATAATGAATTTATAGCAATTAAATATTACGAAATGAATGATTGAATGATATTACACATTAACCAATGTCTAAGGTTTCCCCCCCTTGCTGCTGTCCCTGTAGTTTATATATAATTGAGAGCAAATTAATTATTTGTTTATTCATCAGTACCCACCCCCCACATCTTTCATCCTTGTCTTTTCCCCCTATCAAATGCCTTTTCCTTTTATTATAAAATAATAAATTATTGTCCTGGTTTTGGAGCTGAAGGGAACCTCCAATTACAATTTTACCAGGATCATATATCTCTAGACTATTGATTCCATTGTTTTCTCTTTATACAAAACACACTCTATTCATAGGTGGCAAAAGTTTTTTTGTCCCACCCAAACATAAGCATCTGCTTTAATGTGGAGCAGCAGATCTTTCATTTCAATTTAATTTGCAGCAGGGACAGTTTTCAAGGATTTTATATTCTATCCTTTTACTCTGATTGGATTTGCATATTGTCCATGATCAGATTTTGTGGGGTAGATGTCCCATGTCTCTCTGCCTCAGATGATCATTAATCATTCATCAATATATTTATGCATATAGGCCCCTACCAACACATTCTCAGCTTTTGTTGGTTTTGCTTCATCTTTTCCTGCTACAAGTTGGATTCATTAGCTAGCTCCAATCAGGCCCTTCTCGAGTCATAAGTTGCAATTTTACATACTGTACGTGTCATAGAAATGGCATCTGTCATTGACATGATGAAAGGACTTGGAGATTAAGGCGTATTAAGTATAATAATAATACTCTTTAAAACATTTACAAATAGGCCTGAGTGCAGTAAGCTGAGTGTAAAGTTAGATATAGATCAGAAAGCTAGCTAGCTAGGGTTTGGCTTAGGGTTTTCCTCTCTTAGATACTTACGTATAAGTTGATCAAGCATTTCTATCAGTATTTGGGTTCCATGCCTATCGAATTTTGCTCCACGCTAGGTGTTCTATATAAGCTTTTTCGTTACAGAGATTCGAGGTTATATCCTCCCAGATAGATAGAGGAGCAGCTACTTTTACCTCTTTCATGAATATATATGTAGACTGGTGGCCAACTACTCCACAAGGTTTCTTACGGAACTAAAAGATAATCTAAGTGAAGTCATCATTTTGTTGGTAATTGTAGTAGACCATGCATATATGGTATCCACTTAGGGTTAGGGATTCTTTGATGATGCGTAAGATCGATGCAGTGCCAACCATATTATTGGAACGGGAAAACATAAAAATATGGTAGTCATTATTATATTACCTATGATATGAGTTTTAATATCATATGAAAAAGTAACAGTTGATATGACTCGAATCGGATTATCTTTTTTATATGACTTGAATCCATGATGAGTCGGCTTGTGCACGTTTGAGTTTCTTTCTCTTAGGTTCTGGTCTTTAATCTTATTCTTTACCGGATTGGATTAGGGTTTGCCCCAGTGGCGGAGTTATGTTAATGGTAGGGGTAGGGGAGGCTATAGCCCCTTCAACCAACTCTCAAAATAATAAAAAATTACATGTAAATTTTGTAATAAATTGAAAAATATAGTATTTGATAAGGCGTTAGCCCCCTCCTTGCAAGTTTGAATTCTATGTACGTAAATTTTTAGCTTTCGTCATTCGAATTTCTGGCTCCACCACTGGTTTGCCCGTGGGAGAAGCACCATATATATTTTTCAGACTTCTCTGTAATCTGTAATTTCCTCAAGTATACTGAAGTTGACTCTCTCCCATCTGTAAGCTAACTAACATACGTTGTGTTATCGAATAACGTAAATCTGTGTATTCTTTACTTTCTTACTATACACTTTCTTTCTTGCATCATCGATTATTTGGATCCGTCCTTAAACAAGTTGGAATACATACAAGCACTGACAATTTGTTTATTGGTACCTCAGATCCATTTCTAAATCACATGATGCATTGAATTTCAGGTATACATATCGCTGTGAATCAAAATGGGAGGGCGGTGATACGTTCTCCTGGTGTTGCTGCCCCTACGCACGCTTTCCTCTTCTTCTTATGGCAACGCCGAGATATGAATGATCAAGGAAGACAGCATATTGCCTAAATAAAGACAATGTCTCTTCTGGCATGCCTAGCTGGAGTTGTAGCTTTTCAGTTTGATTTGCAGCTGCTCAGAACCACGATTCATCTGATTTGGTGATCCTTCTGTCAGTTTATTGTTATAGCTGTTTGAAATATATATATGTGGAAAGAATCTGGAAGTTCCTTAAATGGAGGTACGATCAGTACAGATCTATCGTGCATGGCAACTTTTATCGATCTGATATTCAGCTCATAAATATATAGCTTTTCTAGGAGCTAAGTTTTAATCTCTGGTGTTCTGGAAAAGGATAAAAATGCGCATGCAGACGAGCGCTTTCATTAGATCCAGTAAAATTACGAACAGCCTCAGCCTGCATGGATGAGTAGTTAATCTGTGTATTCACCAAGTAGCAATACAGCAGAAATGATATTTACTAATACTAGCTAGTAGCTTCCCGGCCATTGCCCTGGATGAAATTCGTTTTATGATATTTATATAAATCGATTTGTCCTTCTACTTGAAACAATTTCAATGGTCTAAATTTATAGGATTCATAGTCAACGTCATGAATAAAAACCACCACTAGAAGTAGTGGCGTATCCAGAAATTCATCTAAGTTAGGTCAAATGTGGGAAAAAAATATAAGATATGTTTCACGATATGTTCATGTTCAAAATAATCTACAGTACATTAATCATGAAAATTGTGAGAGATCAACGTTAAGATTCCACAGTGAAAACTTGTTCATGATTCCCCAACTCATCTAATTCTGAAGTGTTTCTTTACTTTGCTTATTATAGTAAGAGCTATTTCCACACTTGCAATGACAACCGATAGTAACAAACACTCCCTAAAATTAAATATATATATTAAACTCACTTGCAGAATATATGAACTAAAAGTAGATGACAAAATATTACTTTTTGTGAAATTATCTATAATAATATGGAGATCTTGTATGTTATCAACAATTAAATAAAAAAAAACATGGTGCAAATGACACACCTTGGTCTCAAGTGGCTTCGCCACTGACTAGAAATAAACTGTTATTTACCATCAGTTTTTTATTGCTCTTCATCAATGGCCATACTCCTAATTTCGAACGGAGAGGTTCCTATCTAGCAACTTTATACTAAAAAAATGAGAGGAGCCCTCTCCTCTCTCTTGGAGCTCTGTCGGCTGGTTGGCCGAATTTTCGAGCTTTGCTGCTTGGCTGGCCGAATTTTAGTTATGACAATCGCAACGCTTTTGGATGTAAGTTTGGTTAACCAAGGCACTAATCTCAGGATCTACCAGAGCAAAGGTAAGGTAACCGCCCTTGGGAGAGTCTGGTGACGATGACCTATATCCATAGCAGATGTACAGGTCGATCCAAGGTTGTTCAAGAAAGAAGATCTGATTATCGGATCAGAAACCGAAAGCTAGGTTTTATCCTAGCCGATCAAAACTCGTTTAGTTTTATAAAATGTAAAAGGTACTGAATGTCGAGAAAAGAGATCGATGTGGAGATTTACTCTACCTTCTTCTACAGAGATAGAAGGCGTTGTTGGGAGGGTTCAATATCACCCCCAGCCTGCCGTCGATCATGGTCTTTGTACCATTCACCATGATAGGCTGCCTGGACTTAGGTTTGTTTCCCTGAGCACGGGTGGTCCTTTCCGGCCGATTCAGAGGATGGTTTGGATCCGTCCTTAAAATACTTTGATTGGGCGGGTTTTCACCGACAACAAGATTACGGCGATTGAGTTGCTGGAAGCGGTGAACACGCCATGGGTAGGAAAAGGGGAGATTTGGGTTGCGGAGGCAAAGCACGGTTTGTTTGTGTTTGTGTTCCCGAGTGAGGCTTTCAAATTTGATAAACTAGGTGATTGACACGCTAAAACACAACACCAAACTGCGACCAAGTGTAATCGCAGTCCGGAAATGCAGTAAGTGGCAATCTTTATTTGTCAACCCGGGGCCTAGATCAACTGCCTACTCCGTGATTATTTATTATCTAGCAAACTAAGTCGAGTGGTTGTGATTTTAACTAAAAGCAGTAAGAAAGCAGGAAATGGTTCAAAGTTCTTTAGCAAGGGAAGAGTCACTCGGGAATGAGTCCCCCTAGCTCCTTAGTTAGGTCGAGGTTGTAATTACCATGGGTTGATTAACTGTTGATTAAACTGCGGAAGATCCGACAGTAGTTTGGAATCTCTTAAGCTAACCAAGCCCTCTCAGGCAGGCTAACCGGCAGGCGACGAACCTTCACCGGGATAGACTGCTGAGGCAATAAGCACAGAACTCCACTACTGGAATTGGGTTCCAGTACAAAGCACTAAATTGATTAACTCTCGTATAACCAATCTAAACTACCGATTGATGAAGCTCTAACAACCTAATCAGATTCTATCTATCTCAGGTTGCAGCAGAAATCAAGAAAAGATGATCAGACTTCAATTGACTCAATGAATCATGCATCAATCGATTATAACCAATCAGTATAACAATCCCAAGTCATTACAATCAAGATTTATAACACATGGAACTAGGGTTCTTCATCCCCAAGTGAGAGAAGGTTCTACTCCATGGAGAGAGAGAGGAAAATAGAAATCAGAGTAGTCATAATCATAAAGATGAGGATATTCTGCTCGGGGATGTCGATCTTCACTCCTAGGGATGCAATATGGGCTTCAATGGTGAGAAATCCACTCCAAATAACTCATAGGGTTTGTTCTTCGCACTTTCTCTCTCTAAAGTTCTGTTTTTTGCTCAAAAACTCGATTCCCTCTCCTTTGGCTCGAATCTGCCTCAAAAACCCGATTCTGGGCGAAATACGGTCGTAAACATGGTCTGCCCGTATTTCGCCCAAAACACGCGTTTCACTTAACTCTGAGGAAGGGAATTACAGTCGTCATTTTTCAGTTTACTGCCAGTAATTATGTAATTACGACCGTAAATGAGTCCACTCTTGCCCGTAATTTGCTCTGCGACAGACATTCTCAGGGATTTGGCTCGGCATTGCATTTACGGTCAGGACAGAAGCAATTACGCCCGTAATTGGGCAGGGGATGCCCGTAATTTGCATCTTGAAACGCCAACTGACCTCCAAATGACCCGAAACTTGCGCATATGCATCCCTTTACTTGCTAGGACCTGAAATACGACAAAACAACACAACCTAGCGTAAAATAGGCCAAGAAACCACAAATTCGAGCTAACATGGTCAGGAAACAAGAGTGAAAACATGTGCAAATACGACGCTATCATTGATTAAAGACAAAATTCTTCATCTACGCGCGTGGACTCCAAACATTATAAAACGAGTCTTTGATGAACTGGCTCTCGTCTCGTTCATAGTACAGTTGTGGGGTGTGAATTAGGATTGCTGTACTCAGCAATCCGGTTGGAAAGTGGTGAATGCCACTATTGGACTTGTCCTTAAGGCTGGCGTGTTTGCCTGTCAGAATACGAAAATATGTTTTGTGAAGGTTCGGGTGGTGATTGATTTTACCCAACCTCTACGCTCCCAACTTATGGCAGCAAGTGATGAGAGGGGCTGTTTTTGGTTACAAGTATCTTCCGAGCTTCTACTTTTCCTGTGGGATGGTTGGGCACTCGCTACGCAGGTGTAATTTGGACCGCATGATAATCGGCTTTAATATATCTGATTCTTGAACTTTATGTGACTATCCCAAGATATATTTAAGCAATTGGTGCTATGTTAGGGCTCACTAACCCGACAATGGTTGAAAAACCATTACTGCCTAGTGCCATGAGTTTGATATGTTATAGGTGGAGAAATTATAAGGTTGTTGACACGCCAAAACACAACACCAAACTGCGACCAAGTGTAATCGCAGTCCGGGAATGCAGTAACAGGCAAGTTCTATTATCAACCCGGGGTCTAGATCTACTGCTTACTCTGTGATTATCTATTATCTAGCCAACTAAGTCGAGTGATTGTTGTTTAAACTAAAAGCAGTAAGAAAGCAGGAAATGGTTCGGTTTTCTAAACCAGGAAAGAGTCACTCGGGAATGAGTCCCCCTAGCTCCTTAGTTAGGTTCAATTGTAATTACCCTGGGTTGATTCACTATTGATTAGACTGCGGAAGATCCGACAGTAGCTTGGAATCTCTTAAGCTGACCAAGCCCTCTCAGTCTAACTACCCGGCAGACGACTAGCCTTCACCAGAACAGAAAGCTGAAGCAATGAGCACAGAACTCCACTACTGGAATTGAATTCCAGTACAAAGCAGTAAACTGGCTAACTCTCGTATAACCAATCTCCTACTATCGAATGAAGAGGCTCTAACAACCTAATCAGATTCTATCTATCTCAGGTTGCAGCAGAAATCAAGAAAAGCTGATCAGACTTCAATCAATTCAATAAAACATGCATCATTCGATTAAAACCAAACAGTATAATCATCCCAAGTCATTACAATCAAATCCCTAACACATGGAACTAGGGTTCTTCATACCCAAGTGAGAGAAGGGTTCTACTCCATAGAGAGAGAGAGAGGAAAACAAAATCAGAGTAGTCATACTCATAAAGATGAGGAAAATCTGCTCTGGGATGTCAATCTTCACTCTTGGGGACGCAATCTGGGCTTCAATGGTGAGAAATCCACTCCAAATAGCTCCTGGGGTTTGTTCTTCGCTCTTTCTCTCTCTAAAACTCTGTTTTTGCTCTGAAAATCTGATTCTCTCACTTGTGGCTCGGAATTGGGTGAAAAACCAAGATTTCCCGACTCACACGGGCAGGACACACGGCCGTGTGGCTCACCCAGTTGCCCGTGTGACTCAAAACGCGGCGTATCGATTACTTGGATTTCAGGCTTCCCAAACTCGCTCCCAGGCCACCATTCACGTACTAGGACCTGAAATATCACAAACAAGCACAACCTAGCGTGAAATCGGCCTAAAACACGAGAATCAACACCTCAAACGGCTCAAGAATAGGGGTGAAAACATGTGTAATTAACGGTCTATCAAACTCCCCCACACTTAACCGTTTGCTTGTCCCCAAGCAAACCAAGTCAGGCACAAGGTAAGCTTACATTTTTCAATCAACCAACATTGGGGACAAGTCATAAAGGCACAGAACACGTGAATCGTACTGGTTTTCAAACATCAACACCTGAACAACTTCAATAGCAACCTGGACAACCACCACAAAGGACATTCGAGTGCAGCAAAATCGAGTAAAGGAAGAGTCTCCCTTCTGTTCACCAACCAACCTAGACTTGACTCAACCACTTACTCAAAACAGCCACCTCATGCATCCAACTCAAGACATCAGAATAGAGACCG